TCTTTACCTTCAAGGTGCATCTGGCCTTTTTATTTTATTTTATAAATGGTTTATATGCCTGTACTAAGCTTGATCTTGGATCAGGTCAAAAGACAGTTAAAGGAAAGGCTGTTCTTCCACTATCCCTGGGCACCCTGAGCTTACCTTTGCATTACTGAACAGAGCACCCAACGCGGTGAGATTCCAGATGCTATGATAACAGTCTCATCAAAGGGAATCAAAGCACGGGTGATTTGGTTGTCATACTGCACATCTGCTGGTTTCATTTATACCAACCAAACCCTCAGGGGCCTTGAGAAGCAGAACCCCAGTCACTGGCTTCTTAGCACCTTGCACAGAGCCTAATAAAATAAGCAATTTGTAGATATCTGATGAATTAAATAAAGACTCTCCAATCCCTAGCCTTAGCCATGGATGTACATTTTCAAAAATGGAGAGAATGTCCTACGTATTTTATATATACTATTGTTCAACTCAGGGATTTTTTTTCAATTACAAAATAGGAAGCTAGGAATCAGTTTTAATTCTCCCTGCATCATTAGATGTCCAGTGTTTTCAGGTTCTAGCCACAAACTCATGGGAGGAGGCCAGCTATTAATTTGCCCTGGCAGGGAGCAGAATATAAACTTGTATTGTTGATACATGTGCTTTGTTCTGTTTGCCAAACTCTATATGTAAATGTGTGGGGCAATTTCTTCCCCTGAAGTATGCCCAGTATTCGTTCTCCCCTCCACTTACTTGACCTTCAGCTTACTTATTTCAGTTTTGTCAAAAAGGCTAAACATAGTCAGAGAAGATTCTTGAAGCAAATATAGTGCTTTCTAATACAAACTGTGATTTTCAAAACGCCACACGGAAAAGCCCATTACACACCACGACTATGGGATTTTCCAGTAAATTGCTGCCATCCCATCATAATCCACTACAGCAGAAAGTGCCTCAATAAAGCATCTGGAGCTTTCATCAGATTGGATATGGAGCCTGGAGACAAATGCCCGTCTTGTTCATTCTGCTCCCCTCCGCGGGGCTCATGCCGAGAGACCACGTTACAGAGAGACCACACAATGTAGTTGTCTCGATTCCTCTGGTTAGCAAAGTGGCCACTTTTGTGGACAGAAAAGTGCTCCTTCTATGACACTGTTACCACCTGTCTCCTGAGAAGCAAGGTGGGAGGGAGGGGGCAAAGGGAATTAAGAATGAGCAAAGCTCAGGGACAGACTCAGTCTCTGCTCCCCAGGATCCCCGCAGAGGAGGGGAGGAACTTATTTAAATAGGGGGTTAAAATTACAATTAGCACGAGTGATAACTTTAAAACCTCTCTCACTTTCTTGGAGAAACTTTTCTTTCTTTCGATTAGTCTCACCTGGGGCCAGACCGTTTGGCAACTAAAACCATATAAACCTGTCTTAGTTCTTCTTCGCCTGCCGTCCTCTAATTCCACCTCTGAGTTCAGGCCTATCAGCCTAATTTGGGGTTTCTTTGCAAAATGCTTATCTGCGCTAATCTGATGATTCTCCCTCAACTGACCTTGTCACTCAAAAGCCATAAGTCATTTAAAACCAGCTTTGCATCTGTGAGGAAATAAAAGGCAGAAATAAATTTGATTCTTTTGCATCTTAATTATTTCCCCAGGCACTGCTGCTCTCATTAAACCACCTTAAGTCTTGAACGTGACATTTAAACTAAGAAGTCCACACTTCCTTCCTGCAGTTTTTAGTTTTTTTGTGTGTGTGAGGAAGATCGGCCCTGAGCTAACATCTGCCAATCCTCTTCTTTTTGCTGAGAAGACTGGCCCTGGGCTAACATCCATGCCCATCCTCCTCCACTTTATATAGGATGCCACCACAGCACGGTTTGACAAGCGGTGCATCGGTGCGCACCTGGGATCCGAACCGGCGAACTCCGAGCCGCCGCAGCGGAGCACGCGCACTTAATCGCTTGCGCCACCAGGCCGGCCCTAGTTTTTAGTTTCTTAAGCAGCAGTGCTTGTCTATCTTCACCTTCAAACTCTGCCCTAAATTGGGGCAGGGGTGACCCAGAGACTCTGTGGGGTCCATCAGTCTAAATAGGTGTGAGCTTGTGTGAGCAGGAGGTTGCCTTGGCAACAGGCGGTAAGGAAGGACCCAGACTCTGCCTTACCTGCCCAGTAGGAGGGGTGGGCACCCGCTTAAACACCTCTAAAGGGCTTTCAGCACATGAAATGAGCATCTAGAGCCTTTGTCCTACATGGCGTTACAGCAAGAGGTTTCTCAGGAACCCCGATGGGAGTTTACAGCGGACAATCTCTTAGACAGATAAGCTACTGCCAAACATTCAAAATAAGACCACATGGAAAGCCAACTCACTCTCAACATCTACAGTCAGTTTCATAAAACAGGACCATAGGCAAACCAGAAAATCATTCTCTGTTCTTCCATAATGGCCCTAGAAAGCAGATGGATCTAAGTGTAAGCAAAAAGTCACACTGTAATGCATGAAATGACCCCTTTCTCCAGAGTTTTGCATGTACACACTACACATCATGAGATCCGTTACCTTTGTTTGCAGGTGAGGCTGATCCTTAGAAACAGGACCCATTTAACAGATGGCCCATGTGAAGACATTAGGTTAATCTGGTATGTCGCTCAAAGACCTTCCAACATTTTTCCATCTTAGAAACTGACATCAGCCTGCTATAGTTACCAGTATGGCACTAGAATTGGTATTGGATCAACCGTGGGCTACATTCTCATTAATGTTCTGATGTGCCATCACCTGAGCTGTGAAGTTTGAAGACTGTGGGTCCCTGACACCCTCTTCAGAGGAATTCAGTAATTACTGAGTTCCAGAATTAAAAGTTAGCTTATGGTCCCAAGCCTTTATGCTCTTTTATCTCCTCACCCAGGAAATGAGATGATTCAAGACATAATGCCTGTAATGCTTGAAAAATCTTCCCCAAATGAAAATATATACTAGTTTGATTTATTTTAAATAGTACCAGATGCTCTTTTCTTTTTTCTGTGTTCCCTTAAGCTAGTTAATTTTATTTCCTAGATTTTTCTCCCAAAAGTCTTGAAAATAAGAACTTTTTTTTTTAAGAGCTGGAACCCAGAACCTCTGAGATTCCCACCTGGTTTGAGCTGTATATGACCCAATGATTTTATCATAACAAACTGGGCAATAAACTCTGATTTCCACCCAGATGCTAATAAACCCTACCTGAGTCATGTTGCTATGGCGACTGGGGTTTCTGCAAGCTCTGTGATTCTTAAGCAAGAAAGTTTTGGTTCCTTCTCCAAGGCTCAGGTGGTGTTCCTGGGAATGGGCCAGGCCTGTTCCTACAGGGTGTGGGTGTCACGGCCACAATCAACAGCTCGGGGTGGCTTTTGCCTACATAATAACTAACCTCTGCATTGGATTCTGTTCCTTTCATGTGAGGCTTTCAACAACATGGTGTTATAAAAATATTGCTATCACCATTTCATTTGAGAGAAGAGTAACCTGGAGGCTCAGTCATGTCAAGTGGCTTGCTCAAGATCACTCAGCCTGCAGGTGAGATGGATGCAACATGAACTTGATTTTCTGATGCCAGAGGCTGTGCTTCTCACTAACCTACCCAGGTCTGAGGCAGACAGAGCCATGCCCACATTACTCTCATGCCCTATGCCCATGGATGTGCCCTATATGTTTAGCACAGACTTTGGAGCCAGACTGCTGGGTATGGCTGTGTAACCTTGGCAGATGACTTCAGCTCTATCTCTGTTTTGTCATCTGTAAATTGGTGGTGGTAATTCCTACCTCCAAGGGCTGTTCCGAGGAGCAAACGAATTAATGTGTCTAACTCTCTCGGATCCGTGCCCTGCCCATAGTAAGCGCCATATAAATGGGAACTTTTCTTAGCTGCTGAACGCTTCATTCATTCAGGGTGTTAAAACTGTAGCCAAAGAGAGTCTGCAGTCACCTGAGGATCTGGAGGGTGTCTACTCTGCACGGTAGGCGGCCAGTGCAATACCAGAACAAAGTCGTGGTCATGGAAAAAGCCTGTGTTAGAACGCATCACAGCCTGAGAGGCCTTGATGTTCAAAGTAAGCTGTCACAGCTGTTTCTCTCTGCGGTCAATTCCCTGCTTCTGACATCAACCTGGAGGCATATGAGCCAAAACAGAACCACCGCAAATGACACGACGAGAGAAAGTCTGTTCAGGAAGGCTGTCATTTTTTGAAAAACAGCAGGTTTCTCCTTTCCCTGATAGGAATCAGGTTTTTTCTCTAATAGAGAGAAATTTTTTTTCCAGAATTTAAATTCCTTGCACAACTCAATACCTTAAAAAGGGCATTTATTTTTTCTTGAGCCTTTGAAAGGCACTTTAAACTAGCAGGAGCTACCAATGAAGCAGTGGCGAAAGCTGTGAGTTTCAGCAGCTGAAATGAAACTACTTTTTTTTCTTTAAAAATATACATCTAAGGGTTACGAACCACGTGCAGAGCCTCCTACTATTCTGCTTTTGGCCCCAAGGCCTAATTGCCATCGTGGTAACAGTTTCTGGAGCACACATGTGGCATGGTCCATTTTTCTCCCCATCTCTTTGCCTCTCCAAATTCTGTAGCAGAGCCTCCTTAGGCCTTCTGTTGCATGTTTAAATGGAGAATTTCAGGGATTCCTTGAAAAAGGCTGCTGAAGATACTTCAGAGAGATGAAGAGAAAAAGAGCACCAAATTATAAAATTATGAGCACCAGGAAAGAGCAACAGCTTGGCAGTGCTTCTTGGAAAGATTCCTTGCAAATAACCAATCCCAAGCAAGGCATCCCTTGGAGGTTTGTTTGCTGACTACAAACATGAACAACTCTCAGAAATTTACATACAGGCTCAAGAGCCTTTGGGCAGAGGGTGGTGCCCGGAGGGCAGGACTCCCAGCCTGCCTCTGAAGCCGTTTGGTAAAGGAGGCAAAGACAAAGGTTTCTGGAAGAGCCCTCTGTCCTGCTAGATGAGCCCCGAGTCACACACAGACAATAGTACTCACCTCGACTTTGGAGGCGGCGGAGGAGGCGAGAATGCCTCCATCCCGCTTCTGTCCTTGGGGAACTCAAAGGCAAAAGAGGCCGATTTGCTCATCCCAGTCCCGGCTTTGCTGTTCTGCTCAGAGGAGCTGTCTGTGGGGCGCAGACGGTGCCAGGTGGAAGAGTTGGAGGGGTCCATGGTGCCATTTTCCATCTCTCTTCCCCTTTGATTCAAGTCCTGTTCCAGCTCCTCTTCTTCCTCTATCCGGCACTGACGACTCCAGGCCCCAGTCTGGTACCGGGACCGCCTCTGGTCCAAGGCTGAGGTGGTGGCGGCAGGCGGGGGGCACCTGATGGAGTCACTAGTGGGGATGCCGTTGGCCCGGCAGGAAGAAGCGGGGTCAGCGGGGCCCCTGGAGGAAGGCTGGGGCCCAATGCCGCCACCAGAGCTACCCTCGCTGAGGTCAGACAGTGGGGAGGGAGATGGTGACACCGGGGACCCTCCGGGGCTACTCTTGGACAGCTTGGGGGGAATGGCAGGCCTCCCCTTGGGTGTGTTCTCACTTGCAGCGTGACGGTGGCTTTCCCTGGAGCTCAGCCTCTGGCCAGCTGAAGTCTCCTCTTCGCCTGCCTCAGAGTCCTGACTCACAGGCCCACGTGGCCACTGCACCCCCACTGCGGAGTCAGGGCTGCTCAGGTAGATCGTCCGGTGGTCCTCTTCTGGGTGCGCTGCCATGACTGTGATGGTGGCCGCCACCTGGGGGGCCATATCCGCCACGTGGGGGGCCACATCTGGGCCTTCCCGGTCCCGGCCCCAGCCAGATGCTGTTTTCTGAGCCCAGGTGTTAGCTGTCTGTACCTGGCCCTGCCCCTGAGCAGCTGCCACCTGTTCTGCCTTGGCCTGTGGCCTAGAAGGCCTTGGAACCTTCTTCCTCTTGGTGCTCTCAGCATAGATGGGTTCAGGCTGTACAGCTTCCCTGGGGTGGGCTGGGGGCTGGGGCTCCCCAGTTGGCCCAAGGCACCTGTTAGAGGTCACCACATGGCAGCCAGAGTCCTGCTGCTTGCCAGGCACAGCTTCCTTCATGAGGGAGCAGTAATCGCTCTCAAGATGGGGGCCGAAGGGGCTGCTGGTGCCGCTGCTGGCACTCCCACAGGAGAGGCCATCCGGAGAACTGGCGGCCTCTGAGGGAATGGACGGTTTCTTGGGGCCCAGGCGGGACGGGTTCTCTGTCGGGCCCTGGCCACAGCACTCCTTCGGGAAGCTCAAAACTCGCTTCTCCTCTTCAGCCGGCCCCACACAGGATCTCTGCTCCCAACACGATGGCGAGCAGTCCCCTCCACCAAGTCTGTGCCGGGAACCCTCAGCCTGTGAGGTGTCCTTGGCAATAGGGCTCCCAGGGCAACAGTCCAGGATGGAGCAGTATTCTCCCCCTTCACTGTCCCCTGAGGGTGAGCATCTCTGATCACTGTCATCCTCCGAGGGCAGGGACTCCTGCAGGGGCTGTGGAGAGGGGTAGGGCCCAGGGCCCTTGTGACAGCCAGATGTCATCCCCGCAAAGGCAGCCAGTTTCTGGCGGAAGCTCTCCTGAGTGGAGGTCAGCTCTTGGTAGGGAAACGTGGGTTTATCTTCTTGCCCAACCTTCTCGTCAGGGAAACTGACCGGGTGGAAGGCAGTGCTCCGGTCCCCCCGGGCCTCTCGGCCATGCAGGCCGACCATGGCATACGCAGGAGGGCATCGAGAGTGGCCATCTGTGGAGGCAGGGGGCCCAGCAGGTTTCTGGAGGCCACGGAAGCTGCCCAGGTAAACTATCGGCACATCTTCCTGCTTCGGGAGGGGGAGCTTGCCGGGGGTTCGTCTCCAGATGACCTACACAGCCCCAAGGTTAAAAGACTTATGTTAGAACTTGTCAGAGAAAAAAGGAAGAGAGAAAAAGTGAGAGGGAAGGGCCGTGGCATTGCAGACTGTCTTCTGTGCTGCTCTGAGGACGCTCTGCAGCACGCCCACCATCTGATCTCCCCACTGCCTTCTCTTCACTGCCAGGGCACCCGAGCCATTGGTCTGGCCAGACGCTGAGCTGCACTTCCCACCCATGGTCTGTAATTCTTTTGGCTTAAGTCTGTGAGGCAGGGGAAAAAAAGCGCTAAAAAAAGAACATTTTGCCTTCTCCCTCGAAACTGCCGGATGAGATAAGTTCTCTAATGGGTTTTGAAAATAGAGTTTTGGGTTTTGTTTAACTTTTGCTTTGAGTTCGTTAGTCTTTTGATAACTATGTCACAGTGCATTCCTGAAGGAGCCAAAGCTACAAGGCTTTTTAAAACTCCTTGGGTGGGTGGCGTGGGGGCAGGGAGCAGGAGGTGAGCGGTGGTTTCTGAGCTGGGTCCCGGCTTCCTTATTTATTATACATTTCTTCTCTCTGGGCCATGCCAAAGAGCTGCTCCTGCTCCCAGTTACAGGCAGTGACCTCAGGCTGAGCCTGCATAAGTGGCTGGACTAGTTGAGCTATGAGACAGACAGTGGACTGGTCATTCCCATCACTGAAGTCACTGTCCCCTCCTCCTTCCTTTCTAAAAGCTCCCCCATCCCCACTTACAGAAGCAGCCTCAAAGTAGGGCCTGCAACTGGCTCCTTTCCAAGATGATTCGGAACTTAAAGAGTCCCTGGCTCACGTCTGTGAAGGGTGAAGGTAGGGAGAATGGCCTGGTGAATGGATGGAGCCAGCTGAGGAGAAATGGAGCTGCCCTGAGGGGAATGGAGCTCAGCGCAACCACAGGAAATGTCTCTCTTCAATTAAGCTCCCCCTGATTTAAAACCAACCTCTGATTTCACATAAACTCACACACCCCTCCTGAGCCACTCACCACGATGGTTTAGGAAAACTAGAACAGGCAAAGAGGTCAAACAGGTGGCAAGCAGTTCTCCGAATATGTCCTAGACGGAGAGCTTCCTAGACATGTCTAGAGGCAGCAGGCTCTACGTGCCCTCTACATAATTTTATCTTTGTGAGGGTTACCTGTGGGATGAGCAGAATGGTCTAATCTCTAGGGATGTACTGTTTTTAGTGACCCTAGCTCAAAGCTGGTAAAACCCAAGCTTCGAAACTGAAAATATGAACACTGGCTGGGAATTGGATGATATCAAGGAATTACTGCTAATATTTTTAAGTGCGATAATGGCATTGTGGTTGTATTTTTATAAAGGCTTTATTTTTTAAAGATGTACTGAAATGATGCGATATCTGGGGTGTGCTTTAAAATCACAAGGAAGGGAGGATGGGGTGGGGGCAGAGCTGAAACAAGATTGGTCATGGGTTGATGATTGTTGACGCTCATGCTGAAGGGTGGATGCACGGGATTCGTTATGCAATTATTGCTACTTATGTATACATTTAAAATTATCGATTGAAGAATTGTAAACACTTTTTTTAAAAAAGCTTCATGTTATGTGTCCTTATATTTATCCAAATAAATAATTAATACAGTCTCCAAATAAACTTTGAGGGACTGGATTACTGGTTCTTAGCCTAGAGGAGCAGATAGAAAAGAGGGCGGCAGGGAGGATGGAGCAGTCTTGGGGCAGGCTGACGGGATGCCATCCTGCAGGAGTCTCGCTCTAACAGTGCTCCCTGGCTACCTGCAGTCACCAAGTGTTACGACAAGAACAGCCCCTGTAAAAATACCAGCGGTGTTAGTCAGCCTCACCTGTGAGACGTCAGTGTTCATGTTGGCCTCTGTCCACACATCAGAGGCCTCGGAGCTCATCATGGTGGGCTTCACAGCGATGGTGGGCTTGGAGTAGGGCGAGCTGTTCACACCTTCATCTTCCAGGCGGCAGTTCTCAGGCCTGGGGGGCAGGCGCGGTGGAGGGGGCAGGCTGCCTGCTCTTGGCTGGGGGTGGCCAGGCGCCAGCTGGTGGTCACTCCGCAGGCAGAAGCAGTTCTTGCAGGACCCGGGCTTCCAGATGTGCTCCACAAAGTCACTGCACGCAGACATTTTCAGGCTCTCGGGGTTCAGTCGGACGGGCTGGTGTACCTTGAGCGGACGGTGTGCTGGTTCATCTTGCGCCTGGCTCTCTGGCGTGGTCTTGTGGGAGGCAACTGGGGGTCACAGAGCAGCTTCCTGGAAAGCAGAATACTCACCTGGTCAGAGGTCTCCCCACCAGGGGACGGGTGCATTATCAATTCCAGTCTGGTTATTTGACTGGGGAGTAGAATGGGGTGGAAGGAGGACAGGAGGAGCAAAAAGGTGAAGATTAGTGTTCCATTTATTCCAAGGCCCTCATCCATTTGTCATAAGGCTCCTAAAGTCATTCCGGTGATGTGACCTTATCAGAGGCTGTAAAAACTAAACACAACTCTGTTACGTGAATAGAGAGCATAAAAGACATTTCAGTCTCCTAAAATCCTGAGCGCTTGGAGATTTGGGGACAGTAATGGGAAGAAACCACACAGGTTTGAGAGGAGAAGCCTGAATCTCATTCATGCATTCATTCCCTGCTGCTAGGGGTCTAGAGCCTGGGACTCTGCCCCAGAGAAACGAGAACTTCAAAGCAGTACAGCAAATAAAGATGGTGGCTTCAGAGGATAAGAACTGTGTGAGCGGGGAGGCAGGCCAGGGCCCTGCCATCAGCTCTGTAATCCATACCTGTGACCAGGTGGAGATGGACTGGATGAGAAAGGGGAGTGGTGAGTGCTGGCCTGCCCCCCAGGGGAACCTCATTAGGAGGTCTGGCATCTTGGGAATTTGCCCCCCTCCTTATAAGAATAATTCCTTATAAGGAATAAGAAAATTCCGTATTCAATCCAGTGCTTAGTGGGGTCAATAAGGCTGGAGCTGGGGGCTGAGGGGGAAAAGAAAGAGAAATGCACGATCACTACAGTCCTGTGGTCCAGGGGTGGCTGGATAGAATCTAACAGAGGGAAGAGACTATCACACAGTTATTTTTCCCTATGGTAACCCTGGAGGTAAGGCAGTCTGCTTGCTGAAAGAGTTAGTTGCCTCTGAGTAAAACTGAAGGCAGAGTTTGCACCATAGAACTTAGTAAATTCACCGTTGAGGAGGAGCTCAAATGGTTGAGGATATTAACCAATTAACATGAAGAACACCGTCAGGTAGCTGTTATCCCCATGATATAGATGGGAAAAGAAGGCAACGACATAAACTAAGACCTGTCCATAGACACAGAGAGTTTGGTGGTCCTAGAAAGAGAAGCCCATTTCGTTGGCAGCCCCCCACCTCACGCGTCACGCGTCATTCAGCACACTGAGTCACTCGCCATTATCTGTTTGCTGCTCATTGCTCTCCTTTCCTCATTTAACTGAACAGACTTCCTCATGAGAATGTTCAAGAGAAAATCGTCCTTAAGAACCTAAGGTGAACAGGTTCTCATTAAACAAGGAGGGTTTTGCCCTGGGGTTTGCTCTCCACGTTCTTCCCGTGAGAACTTGCTTTGAGGTTGATGCTCTCTAAACTGTCAACAGGACTAACTAGATGGAATGAGCCAGGAGCCCCAGAGATCATTCCAGAATCTTTGTGGGAAGTGCTCTCTTTCTGGCCTCCCACACTCAGACAGGGGTGCTTTTTCAACACGTGCTGGAGCTCACTTTGCCTCCTTTCCCTCCAAAGTGCACCATGAAGCTAAATGAACACTCTGAAATGAAAGACAAGTATCTGTCTTCAGCCATCATTGTTAGGATCTTATGCATCCCTCTCAAGATGATTGCAGGTTAGGTTCTTCTCCCCTAAACACACCCATGTATCAGGTTCACTCTTTGCCAAGTTCCCCAGAAGAGGTCACTAAGCTTCAACAAGCAGAGGAGGATGGCAAGGACTTTTCTTTCTCCTACAATCTCAGGCCACAGACAGCTTTAGGCTCTGCTGCTAAATTTTGGAAGGAGGAAAAAGGGGAGGAAGAATTTTGGTGCTCAGTAGGGCAAGTCTCCATACCCCTGCCTGGAAGTGGGGAGTAGGTCCTTTCCTGGGGAGATGATGAAGGCTGCCTAGCTCTTCACCACCACTGAAAAAGACAGGCCCCTCTCTCCTGCAGGCAGAGGCTCCCACGCCCCTCAGTGGACGGAGGAAGAGAGCTTGGAAACCAGTTCTGTGTCGGCTCCTCACGTTCCTGAAGCTTCTCATAAAGCTGTGCTATCTGAGGAGGTGGGCGTCCAACCACTTCCTCAGGGCTACCACAGATTCACAAAGCAGCAGTTTTGGGTGGCCGCATCTCATTTCCTCCTCAACAGGCAACTGACAGCACAAGCTTGTGACGATTGTTTGGTGCCAGAGGTCCCCCACTCCTTAGCAGCCCATGGCCCACTACAGCCCTGGGACTCGTGGTAGGCTCTGGATTACTAACGTGCGAGAAGCTTCCTTTAGAACCTCTCAGCAGTTTATGAGAACTCTCTTCGTTCCCATCCTCAGCTCTGAAATTCTCTCACCATGGGCACAACTTTCGCAGCACAACTGCTCAGAGACACACAGGGTTTTAAAAGGAAGTCTTTGAATGAGAGAACAGAATGCAGCCCTAGGTTTCTCACCATCATTGACTCACTGCATCCTGTTAAAACTGGTTTCTCAGTCACGGCAAACAATTTACCACCAGGTCAAGCGAGAAAAGATTCTTTTCCAGTTCGATCTGTCTCGAGCGGTTCTGTGCCTGGAATTATCTCCTATTTGTTTTTTTGTTTGTTTGTTTGTTTTTGTTTTTTAATTTTTTGTTTATTGTAGTAACATTGGTTTATAACATTGTAAAAGTTTCAGGTGTACAACATTGTACTTCTATTTCTGCATAGATTACATCATGTTCTATTTGTTTTAAGTAAAAGATGAAACACTTAAGTGACGCTCACAAAGCAGGAGCCGAGAGCGCCTACCAGTGCCAGCTCTCCGTAGCCTGGGAATGGCAACTTCCCAGCCCACATTCCTTACCTCTGAGGGGAGGCGGCTCCCAGAATTATGCAAATTCCCCCATTTCAGTGGGAGGCAGCAGTGTAAGATTAGAAAAAGATCTCAGCATTCTTTCTGATCCAAATCCTGATAAAATATCTTTGCAAACTTCTGCACTAGATTTGTGGCTTCAATTTGTAAGACTGAAGCTGTCAGATACACTCCCACCCCATCTCAAAAAGAATCTGAAGAATTGTGGCCAGAACCATAAAATTAAGGCTCAAAATATTGCCCCTCATCCTTGCATCAAAAGTTGCTGTGCCTTACCCTGAAGTGACAGAATTCCAGAAAACATTCATCTAAACAATTTATATATACTACAATTAAATTAATGCAACAGTGGAAAAAGAAAATATGTATGGAAAGTGTTTGTCTAGATTTCGACATGCCAGTGACGGGTGACAGGGATGGAGAAAAGTGACAGCGTTAACACCCCCCCCCCCACACACACACACAGGGAAAGTCATGATATTCACCCAACCTTTTAGTTTCTTTTTTCTTCTCCAGTGCTATGTAATCTAATCTCAGCAGTAGGAATGTGGTTTTTGTGGGTTAGACCCATTCAGTCTAAACCAGTAAGGAGCATACCCAGTTCCACAGGACCCCAGGATAGCAAAATAATTGCAGAATTCCCCAGGACTTCCTATCAAATTTCTCTCTCAAAAAGGGAAGGAGTTGTTAACGACAGTTCAGTCGAGTGATCAATAAGGCCTTCGGAACCTGACTCTGGACTGAACGAATTGCAAAACTCCTCGCCCCTAGACCTTTGGGCTCTGCCATCGGCTCTGCAAAGCCATGTGCTTGCTGGCTGAGCATTACCTGAGAGAAATATACACAGTCAGCCAGCCCTGCCTTCTTTCCCATTCATGGGACCGGAAAGTGGAGAGATTCTATTTTCTGTGTGTGTGTGTGTGTCCGGTGGGGAGTGGGCAGCACAAGCAAAGATTAAGAGCTTGCCCTCAGCACCCCTTTCAGAGGTCTCAGCCAGGGCTCAAGAAGAAGGCATCATCTCGTCCTCTCTGGAGACCCCGAGGCTGGCATCTAACCCGGTGCCGCATCAGAGGCAGCTACTAATCTGAGTCCCCAAACATCAACCTGCGATCCTGGTCCGCGAAGCCCTGTCGGTCTCTCCCTCTCTGCTCCGTTGACAATACTGCTGCCGTGGAAAGGAAGTCTCCACAGTAGCAATCTCCAAAGCGCTCCAGTCTCTTGCCCCACACAGAGCAGCAAACCGGCAGAACAGTCGGTTTCCCCTCCCGGAACTCGAAGGAAAGTTTCCCCGTTTTAAAGAGTGCGATTCTCGAATGATTCGAAAACCCCTCCGGTTTCCCTGTTCTCCGGGTTAGGCACCTCCACCTCCGGCACAACCCCGGGCGCACGCGGTCCGGACGCTCCACCCTCCCCAGGCGGCCGCCTGTCACCCCGGGGGACGCCGACAGGGGGTCGCCCGCTCGGCGATCGTAGCGCTCCTCCGAAGCTCCCCTCTGCGGCCACGTTTGCCAGACAAAAAGAGGCCACATTTGGAGAAAGCGTCGCGGGCTCACCTCGGGGCCGCGCTCCCCTGGCTTCGCCGTCGGTCTCCGAGCCGCCAGCCGCCCCGCCGGGCGCTCCGGAGCATTGTTTGGAGCGTGTGTGCGCGCGGTGCGGACCGGGCCGCGGGCGTGTGTCGTCTGCCTGGGCCCGGCGGCCGGGTGGCAGCTGCGAGCGCGGCTCCGCCCCCTCCGCCTCCGGTTACGCCGCCCGCCCCGGCTCCCGCCGCACCTCCGCAGTCCCCGCCGCCGCCCCGCGCGCCCCTAGTCGAGCGCGCCCGGCCGCTCTGCTCTCGCGCCCCCAGCTCCCTCCCGGGCGGGCCCCGGCTCTCCAGCCCCCGATTCCTCCAAACTCTGTGTCCGGTCCCTCCCCCCCCTCCCGCTCCCGATCAAGAGGCTCCGCCCCTAACCCGGGACTTGGCGCCGTCTGACCCCTGAGCGGAGCCCCATTTGTACCCCTCCCCAAGGATGACTCTGCGCGCTTCTGCAGGGGCGAGTTTCGGTGTTTGCAATCTTCCTCTTACCGTAATATATGCATAGGTATTATAGGTGTCCCGCATCGCTTCATCCAGCCGGCTCTGCAAGACCCTGGGTGGGAAGGGGCGCGGGGAGGGTAAAGCCGGAGAGCTG